TTTTTTTTTTGTCATCAATTTCGTGCATAAATTCTTTTTATACGTTGATTAATTTTTTTCGGGAAGGGGAGAGGGGAAAAAAGAAACAGTTAACAAGGATAGAAAGTGAATTATATGGCTTGTAGCGATTATTAGAATATATTTTTAAAAATTATTTATTATTTGTTTGTTTCTTTTTGAAAAAATTTATGATTATCTCCAATTCTGTAGCTATTTTGACAGTGTTTGTTGATTAAGGCGAACACTTGGTGGATGTTCGACTGTTTGATCAAAGTGTTTATGAAAGTCCGTTTATTTGTAATGTTGGCGATCCGGATTTGGTTACTGTTCGGGATATGCCTCAGTATTTATCCTATGATAGTCTTAACAGAGAACATAGCTTCGAAAGTAATGAATTTTTTTTACTCTCAAATAATAAGAAGCAACAATTGTTCATTACTTACAAATTTTTATTTTGCCAAATTCATTTAGCTCTTTTCAAATGAGTCATAAACAGCAGAATGATATGATTATAATTAACTTAAGAAATTTTGATAGGATGATTGCCTAGCATTATTTATATATTTTTTAGTTGATGCGTCTGCAGCCGGATCCGGAAATTTAGAAATTATGATAAATGGTGGCCGTATACCATGTCGGGTACGTGGCTTAGGCGGTCGAAAATACCTGGCAATGTTTATACCTACTCAACCCTTACCACATATTGTTGAAATGTCATTCAACAACGAACATGTCCGTATGTCACCGTGGAGTATACCGTTTGTACCGGAACAGCATCGAAATATCTATTATCACAACAGTGAGCAAGTTTCTCGAGCACCCGATATTCGAATGTACGTTTCGCATAAGCTTACATGCACTGTTTTCATCTTTAGTGGTATAAGTGCTGCGTTGCTTATTCAACGTTTGCATGTACCTTTCTTTTTTTTGCTTCTGCAACTGTGCGATAAAGGCAAGCAATAGGAAACTGTTTTTCACAGAACTAGAATAAATTGACTTTGCCCGAATCTTAGGCTGGATAAACGAAAACCGTGGTATACCGAATTGACGGGTCTTGGTCTTCAACGCGGTGCAGTGAACAAAATTTCGTCATTTGAAATCACCGGTGAAGGACTAGAACCGGGTGCTGTTGTAACGAAACTTTATGGTTGGTTTTATCTTCCTCGATGTTTAAATCTGTTAAAAAGAAAAGAAAAATACATAGTTTTTGCCGATCAAACTGCTTGAGAAAGTAAAATTGTAGTGTTGTCAGACAAGGAAATGACTTTTTTTCTGCACTGGACGAGATAAAAAAAAAGATGTACAATTGGTAAGAAATAATTTTAGAATCATAAATTAGTCACAAAAGATTGTGGTGCTGTTTTTTTTTGATTTTGATTTCCTTCAATATCATTTTTGTTCTTGTCAACCTTTTTTTCTTACAAAAAAAAATTCCATTGTGTTATTACATGCATCTATTGTGCGCTGTATGTAAAGGCATAACTTTAGGAATTCTTTTTTCTTCCCCCTTCTCTCCCCTTTTTTATTTACATTCTTTGTATTTATTTTGTAATTCCAAAGTGTGTGTGTGTGTGTTTGGTGTAAAGCCTATTATAATCTTGTCCAAGAGCTCTATTTTGATTCTTTTTATGACGGCTCAGTAGAATTGTCAAATGTTGTGTAGCCGAGAATGACGAAGGATCAAAGTGAAGAAGAAAACAGTGTCTTTTTTTTTGCCTTTCTCTGTTTTTTCTTTTCTCTGTATTTTTTTTTCTTGGTTTGTTAGCCTAACGTCATTGATGATGGCGATGATGATGGTAGTAGTTATAGTGATGGTT